ATTAAAGGTAGGGTAATTTCACCCTCTGTTAAGTTTAGATAAGCATTTGTGATACATTTTGAATTCTAAACAATTAAAGTTAGGCAATTTCACCCCTTGTTAAGTTTAGATAAGCATTTGTCAAATTGAGGCCTACTATATAATTTTCACCAAATAAGAGTAGGAGAGAGGGAGAGTGAAATTTAGTAAAAATCACATATTAGGTCCCAATTTAATAGACATTTGTTAAAATTTAATGGTAAAAGTAAAATTACTTAAACTTTAATTGCTTAGAGGTCAGAATGCACCTTTTAAATGTTTAAAGTTTAAGTCGCCGCTATATTTATAGTTCAAGATTCAAATTGTATATTAACTCATTATATATTTGATACAAAACCTATTATACCGTGGGCCTTTGTTTTGCAGATAATTTGAGGGAGTTGCATTGTTAGTGAAATATTTCTAGTATGGTTTTATATTAATCTCATATTTACTAAATTGATTTGAATTTATATTTTCAAGAAGATGCTCCCTCACCTTATAAGTTGAGTTTCACGGATCAAGAAACTCAACTGTTCATGAAAAGGTGATTTTGTGAATTTGGAATCGTGACATTTTAAGAGCCGAAATAGCTTTTAGCCCAATTTTGTTGGACATAAAATATCCTAAAAGTTCAACAAACTTACACCCACTAAGGGCCCATCTAGTAAAACAAACTAGATTCTGCTCGTGAGGTATACAAATTAATAATGTTTATCGTGTTTGCTTTTATTATTGAATCATGATAGTTGCTTTTTATTTTTATTTTATGCAGGAATATAAGTATGATTATCATGTCTTGTATATCTTTTTATACCTATACCTAATACTTCAGGTGTTAAATGGCGTCGAAGTATGTTTGGTTTTTAATTTATTAAAAATCTATTTGTTAAAAGTTCATTTGATAAAAATTAATTATTATAATGAAATTAATGTTTAACTATATTTTTCAAAAGTTAATTTAATAAATTAAAAGTTATTTGAATGATTTGTATAAAAAGATAACATAAATAATGCTAATGTATAATGCAATTTAATTGCGGCGGTATTGACCAACCATCATCAAATACAAACTTTGGACAACATATCAACCCACACATTTAGCTCATAACGAGCACTACTTCATATGTTGGCTCAAGTCAACACAATTTACATTTGCGGGCGTATGATTTCACAAATTCTGCATCAAGTGCTGTAGAATTCTACAAACTTGGGACCATGATTGAGTTTCAAGAGCTTTTGAAAAATATGACAGTATGAACAAGCAAAGCATTTACTACATATCGAGTTACATGATGCACGCACCAATACGTTCACAGAACCTTCTTAACATCAATATTAAGATCATATTCAGTAACAAATCCAGCAAAGAATACCCTAAATTTCCTCGCCATAAAATTTTTATTTTAACAATAAGGTTCCATCATTTTCTTTTCAAATAAAAACCTTCAGACAGCAGTAATTGTACAACCAAACACCAACCAAAAATGAAGTGGAATGAATGAAAGTCTCACCTTGCTTTGCAGTCCAAATTTTTAGAAAGAATTCAAAAAAAAAAAAAAAGCAGAACAGTAGGGTGAGAGGATGGGGAATAACACAATAATATAATGCCAACATCATGGATTTGGTTTTACTTGGGGGAAAGCCAGAAAGATCAGAGCAGAATGGTCGATCTAAAAAAAAAAAAAAAAATGAAGGAAGCACCTAGTTCACGAGCATAGTAGAACAAAGAAGGCAAACAAAAAGGCACAAAGGATGAGAGCAGAATGAAGAAGGCAAGCAAAATGACGCACCTAATTAACGAGCATGAAGTTGACGAGTTGGGTTCTCTCAGTCTGGCAGAACTCAGACACATGGGGTGAATTTTGCTTTTCTGAACTCTGAAATGTGTTCAAAATACAAACAGCACCTCAATCCGTGACAAAATAAAGATCATTGGCGTGAGTCACCTCGGATGTGTTGAAGTGGAACGAAGAACACAAGAATAGAGCAACAAAGAGAAGAAGATTGTCTCGCAAATGGAAGAAATCGAGGGGGTGAACTATGATCTATGGTTACCGGATGAGGAAGCATCGATTGCAGGGAGAGGGAGAGGAATGACGACGGCGCGCTGAGAGGATAAGAGATGACGAGAGAATCTGAGGAGCAGAGGAGTGAAATGTATGAAACTTTGTGTGAACGAAGAAAGAAAAACTTAATGCTCTCATAAATGCTCCAACTCCCATTTGTAATCTTTTGGCCAAAAAAACTACTCCCATTTGCAATTTTAAAGACATCTCAGAATGGAGTCGGAAGCCTCCCGTGTTTCTCCTTTAAAGTTGAGGTAAATTTATAAATCTGGACAATTTAAATTTAATATTTTTATTTTTAAAATAAAAATATATAAAAATTTTAAAAATTTTAAATAAATATATTTATTAATTTGATAGTTTAAATTTAATATAAATATTCTAAATTTAATATAAAAAATTTAAATTAACTTTTTAAATATATTTTGAATAATATAAATATATTCTGAATAGAATAGCAAATTTATTAAAAAAATTTAATATTAAATTTAGAGTACTTATATTAAATCTAGACTCTTGAATTGATAAGTATATTTATTAATTTTTTTACAATTTTTATATATTTTTTATTTCAAAAGTATAAATTAAAAATAAAAATAAAAACATTAAATTTAGACCATTTATATTAAGCCTTTGCCTCAAAGGAGAGGCAAAGGAGACTTATCTCAAAAGAGAAGTTAACTCCTCTCAGAATAGAATTTCCAAATTTAATTTTAAATTACATTTTAATTCATATTTAAAAAGTTATTTTGCTTACTTAAAAAATTTTTCAAACAACTTTTGATATTTGAAAAGTTTAAAATTACTTTTCAAATACTAAAAGTTTTTAACCCATGTGCGCCCTAAATCTTTGTTCTTTAGGAACAAAATTTGTTTAAGATTATATTTATCAAATATTAATATTTTAAATGTGAAATTTTTGGATTGCATTGGGCTTATATCGAACTCGAATTTTTCAGCCTTTTCAATAAAATGAGAATGTGTGTGGCCTCATCATAAAGGAATGTTTTTTTAGATTGAACTATTTAAGAATTGTTTGAAATTATTTTTATTTTATTATTTTGAGAATTGGTATTTTATAGAATATATTTTAAAAATAAAAAATAATAAAGATAAGTGTTTTTTATTTTTCATTGTTCTCTAGAACAATAATCACAAAATACTTAAAAGTTATTTTTATTTTTTTGTTCTTTAAAGTAATATTTTATTTGTTTGTTTTTTAAAACACTTTTTAAAAATATGTTATTAAATAAATTTTTTTTTGTTCTCTTATTTTAGAGAATAAAAAACTGTTCTCAAAATTAGTTTTCAAAAAAGCCCCTAATATCCTAAGAAGAGGCTGTTCTGCTTTTATTGGAGGATTTAACGGGCTCACATGGGTTTAAATTTAAGATATAATTAATTAAAAGCAATGAAAAATTTTCATCACTTAAGTAAGTGATTAAGTTTTGGATCTCAATTTTAGTATATAAAAAATTCTTAAATAGGCAGGATGCATTACATCATTTATATTCTATCTAATAAAAATATAATATTCAAATAGCATTAAATATAAATTAATTTTAATATTAATGATAGTAGAGTCAAAAAATGCAGGAAATTAAATATAAATTCTGTCATAGGAATAAAATTAATTAAAATAATATCACATAAAATTTTATTTAGAAAAATTGAGGCATTTTAATTGGGTAGACAATAAATAACTTGGTGCATTTAATCTACTTAAAAATTTCTCCTAATATATATATATTAATTTAGTGGTAAAAAATTTAAAGAAATAATCTTGCTATGGGCAGGGCTTACTTCTTATGTTCACCAATTTTTTTTTTAAATCTATAGTTAAGCTTGTACCCTCTCATTGAAACAGAGTGCTATGGTTAGGGGTGAACAAAACCGAACCAAAACCAAAAATAAAATCGAATCGAATTGAATTTTGTCTATTTGATTCGATTTATTTAATTTTTCAATTCGATTCGATTTTTTTATTTTAAATATTTTGGTTGATTGATTCGATTTGGTTAGTAAAATTTAAAATCGAATAGACCGAACCGACTGAATTATATATAATTTATTAATTTATAAATTATATTTAATTTATAAATTATTTTATTTTATTTTTAGTTTTTATTTTAATAAAGAATAAAAAATAATAACATCACTTGAAACCCTATTTTGATCAGTCACTCTCATCAGTAGGTGTTGTGACTAGATTATGGAGCCATTATTTGATCATGGATGTTTATTTGTGGTTGTTTATTTGATTATCCATGCCTTTATAATATTTGGGCTTTATGTCATAATATTTGGGTTTTATATTATATGGGTGTAATTAGAATGGGCTCATATTAAAAAAATGAATAGAAAAAAGGTCCAATTTTATAGTATTGTTTGTTTTAATATTTAAAAAATGGGCCCAATTTTAATAGCCTAATATGAAACCAAAAAACTGAATTAACTGACCGAATCAAATTATTAAATTTCGGTTCGGTCCTTATTCAGTTTGATTGATTTGTTCGGTTCGATTCGGTTTTCATTTTCAGTGTTATTCGATCAATCAATTCTACATATTTTGAGACCGAACCGACCGATGCTCAGCCCTAGCTATGGTGGATGAATTGGCATGAACAGATCCTATTTTTCTGGCTTTACTAAAGTAGACAGTCACGTGTCACGCCATACGCTAATTAGTAATAACGTCGTTAAAATTTTTTTTTTCCCAATTATGAATTTTACCATAATAAGAATGATTATTATTATTTTTCCCAATGGGTATCCTAAGCGATCTAGGCACCTAAAGACACAAACGAGAGCCCACCAAAATATTCAGCCCAATCTTCATGTCAATTCTTCTATACGACGCCGTCTAAGCCATTTGGATTAATATTCATTCACCGTTCTCCGTCCATAGCGGCAAATGTCGATCCCCCTCTGCTCCCCTCCACCGCTGCCGTTGGTGATAGTCACGTTCGCGATAACGGAGAGTTGTAACCAAGCTTGGTATTTCTTACTTCTGATTTGCGCTCGTTCTTCCTGAAACTGCTTCTTCCAAATCCTCGATTCTCTACATCGGATTTTGACTTCAAATTTCCTGGTTTATGCCCCTCACACTTTTGTTTTTTTCCTTGGGGTTTTAGCTGAAGTACTGTAAAGTTCATTGTAAGAAACTGATTTTTTTCCCCCAACTTGCATTCTCTCTTCAATTGTCGTTTCTGTTTTGTGAGTGAATTTGTCATAGTATGTCGATTGGTAACTGCGTAGATTAATCTTTATTCTTATTTTATCCCAAGCAGGATTGCTGCTGAACCTGAAACTAGAGAGGAACTTCCGGTGTAGGAGACATGTCCAAATTGCGAACGCTGGTGCAAGCTTCTCTAAATGCTACTAAGAAGGGTATGACTATAGAATCAATGCCTTATTTACATTATCGACCAAAACTTTGCAGCTTAAATAGCTAACCCTTTGCTCATTCCTCTATTTTTTTTTTTGTGCCTCTGTTTTGGCTAAAAGCTCATTTCTCTGATTATGGCATCTGGTTTGGCATTCGACTTGAAAAAAAATATATGGGGTTGGATATTTTTGTGTGAGGTTTACCAAAAGTTTATATGATGATTTTGATTTTGGCTGACGCTCTCTTTTGTGGTCGGGGTCTTTTGTGCATGGAACAACAGCCTTTACATGGAATGTTGAGGATTTAATGCCTCCGACTGAAAGATACATATTCAATTTCAATTCAAAGGAGGAGTTGAAAAAATGGCATCTATACTCTGATTCTGAATATGGAGGTATGTAAATTTAGTTTATGGCTGCGCCAATGTATGGAATTCTGACACTAACAAATGCGGATGTTTGTGTACCTTAGCACTTGTGCTCTCTGAGGAAATGGCATCTATGCTCTGATTCTAAACATGGAGATATGTAACTTTTGTTTATGACTGTGCCACTGTATGGTATTCTGAGACTACTAATATGAAGGTTTGTGTTAGTCTGCAAATTAGTTTTTGATAAGATAAAGGATGAGGGAGAGAGAGAGAGAGAGAGAGAGAGAGAAACAGAGGAGAGAATTGTTAATATTCCTTCTGAACATTAGAAAATCAATAGCCTACAACCTTAGGCTAAGGATCCTATATATAGATGTCTGACTAATGAACATAATCCTCAACCTAACTAACTCATAAGTCATATATATTTTATTATTTACATATCAGTACTTCCACCCTAAAACACCCTTGTCCTCAAGGGTCAGCAATAGGAAAATTTGGAAACTGTCTCTGAAAATTAAATTGAGACATCCAAGTAGCTTCTTCATCAGGCAAGCCTCTCCACTGGACCAAAATCTCTGTGATGATTCTGCCTTTCTTCCTTCCCACTCTTTTATTCAATATTTCTTAGAAATAACAATTTTGGAACCTCTGGCCAATCTTCAGGTGGATGGCTTTGCTTCACTAAAGGATCTGGACACAACTTGAGGAGAGACACATGAAACGTGGAATAAATTCTAAATTCATGAGGCAATTCCAGCTTGTAGGCAACCTTCCCTGATCTTCTTAGCACCTTACAGGGCCCAAAATACCTTGTTGCCAACTTATGAGTGCTTCTAGAGGCAAGAGAGATCTGCCTATAAGGCTGTAACTTCAAGAAAATCCACTGCCCAACTTCAAACTCTCAATCAGATCACTTTAAATCAGCCTTCTCCTTCATTTGGCTTGTTTCCCTGTGTAGGTGATGCTTTAGAACCCCAATCATTCGCTCTCTAGCTTCAAAACTGCGACCTACAGCCTCTAGGCAAGCAAGGAGTGTAAATTGGTAGTTTCTGCCCACAGAGCAATTATAAGGAGTAGCTTTAATAGAAGTGTGAAAGCTAGTGTTGTGCCACCATTTGGCCAGTGCTTTAGGACTTTCCCAACACATACATCGAAGATAAGTCTCCAAACATTGATTTAGTATCTCGGATTGCCCATTTGTTTGAGAATAGTAAGAAGTGAGCTTTTGCTCCACTTTAATCACTTTAAGAAACTCTTTCCAGAAATTACTAATGAACACTGGATCTCTATCACTTACTACTTCAACTGGAGCCCCATGCAATCTGTAAATATGATCCAAGAATCCTTGAGCTAGTGTAGATGCTGAAAAAGAATGAGAAAGAGCCAATAAACGGGCATATTTGCTCACTCTATCCACCACTGCAGCAGAAGTATGGTGGGCCCGTAACCCACAGGTCCCAGGATCAAAATTTGATACTACTGATAAGATAGAAGATGATAAAGAGAGAAAGACGATTGACAGGTAGAAGGGAGAAAGAGAGAAACAGAGGCGAGAATTTCGAATATTCCTTCTGAACATTGGAAAATCAATAGTGTACAACCTTAGGCTAAGGATCCTACATATAGATGTTTGACTAATGAACATAACAAACACAACCCTCAACTTAACTAACTCATATATTTTTTAATATTTACGTATCAGCTTTAATCTGCATTTCAGAATTCTTAAAGCAAGTCTTGATCTTAATTTGCAAAGTAGCTGTGAATCATATTGGTTGGGAATGAAAATTAAATCGAAATTATGTTTGTGAAATAAAAAATATGGTCTGAACTGTAAAGGTTTATTGTGGATGAGCGTCCAACCAATCTACCTAAATGAAATGGTTCTGGATATGATCTTTTAAATATTTGGTGGATTGAGCAAAACCCTCTGAAGAACCTCTCAGCATGATGGCATGGTTCTAGATTTGAAGAAGATGCAATGCTTCCTTCATGTTTGTTATGCAACGGTTATTGATTCATGTTTATATTTGCAAATGGAGGATTGTTACATATAAAAGCCTTGACAACAACTTAACTGTGTATAACCAATTGTAATCCAGGTTTGTCCTCGGCATCATTGGAGATAACTGAATCAGAAAATGGACCGAGTGGTAATGCCAGCTTAGTTTTCCCTTAGACTGCTCTTGTTATCATTGCCTATTATATCCATTACCTGCGTGTAGTAAGCTGTTTGATTGTGATTGGCAACAGGTTTCAAGCAGAAACCATATCCTTTGAAACTATACTACTACCCATGAAGTTGAGTTATTGTGTACTTTTATAGACGCAAATGGCTTAAAACACAATAATGTCTCAGTATTTGGGTGCTGGATTAATGAGAAATAGCTTTTATACACATAAGGAACCCCAGATTTCTTGCCCAAAAAATTTACAATTAGTATTTGTTCGTTTTTTACCTTTTCCTAGTGAAACGTATATAGAATCTATTTTATTTTAGTGAATATTTAAAAAATAAAAGGTAATATACTGTCATGTTTCATCTGTAAGATTATTTTAATGTTTGCAGATTGAATTTAGGAAATACATAAAACATACTTCATAGATCAAGCTTCAAGGTTCACATTTCTATGGCATATTTTACACTTGCACTTATAAATCGTGTGGCATTTGCTAGAGTTCTGTGACTCTTCTTTGTTTGGTGAAAGGGGGGCGGCAGTTGGTTGACAAGTGGTGAAAGACTTGCTTTTGTATCCTTACAAGATCTGATATCTTCTGATAGGGATCTTCTCGGGAAACCTTTCTTTAGATGTGTCTCAGGATTCAAAATGGAATATGATAAGAAGCGGCTTCTGTGGAATGCGATCCAAAAAGGTGTTTGCTTCTTTTCTACAGTTAAAAGAGAGAAGGGAGGGGGGGTTCTCTGGAGTTAGAGCTGAAATAAATAAATCTTCTTTCCTTGATCTGTTAACTGTTAAGGTAGAATTGAAATCTCTGCTAATGGTTAGAGTTGATTCCATATGAATGCTGGATTTTGTTTCTCCAAATTAAAACAATTATTAGTAGCTGTTTTACACTAACTACATCAACAATATTAGAACCCCCTCCCCCCCCCCCCCCCAAAAAAAAAAAAATATTAGTATCATTCTTTGGGTTTTTGAATATGAGAATGCTTTCATGGTCTTGCTGTCCTGCTCCCCTGTGGCCTCCTTTATATTCATTCGACTCAATATTGTGCTACATCGTTCGTCGGTTTTTTGTGCCTTTGCAGTTTGATGGATTTATAGATTTGGATTCGTACGATACTATTGCGATGAAACTCAAAGGAGATGGAAGATGCTATATATCTACTGTGAGTGCCATTTCTCTCTCAAAGTCAAGATACAATATTAGGAGAATGCAGAGGCTTTAAATTCTATTTCTAAGTACCCTTCCAAGTTCCAAGTGCTTTAACTTGTCTAATTTTGGTGCAGATCTACACAGAAAATTGGGTATGTTCACCTGGAGAGCAGGAGGATAATTCGTGGCAAGCTTTTGTTTTTATTCCCAAAGACAACTGGTATATTGCAAAAGTAAGGCCCATTTTTCCCCTAGTGCATACAAAGCCTGATGCCAATTCATTTTATAATTTCAATAACCTCCAAATTCCCGAGAAGAATGTCTGCTTAGTTAATTATGAAAGACATTTACAGACTTTTTTGTTAGTCATGCTACGTCGCATTGCTAAAATAAGCTTGAAATTGTTAATTACTGAGTAAACCAGGTTTTGGAAGCCCTGATTTAAGTTGTTTGAACACAAACAAGACAGTAACTTGTAGCTGGATTTTGTTTGTTTGTTCTCATTTCCCACACGTGATAATCCCCTGCAACATGATAGGCCCAGACTGGCTACTGAAATACTCTAACTTGCATATGGTTCTGCGTTTGTTTTGGTTAGTGAATTTCGACAGTTTCAATATTTGCTTAGCGTTTTCGTTGACTTATCAGATTCCTCTTGCTCGATATTTACCTACTTGGAGAGGGAACGTTATCGATGAAGAGATGGAAATGAACCCATCTCGCATTCTTGGCATGTCTCTCTCTGTCAATGCTGAGGGTGGCGTCCCAGGTGCAAGATCTGGACCTGGTGATTTCAGAGTTGAACTTGATTGGATCAAGGCCTTGAGAACTCAATGAAATCATGAAGATTCTCTTTGCAGCTGAAGAATTTTGATCCTCTTGTATAATGATGATAATAATAATAATGTATCTCATGTTTTGGGAGAGGGGAAACATTCATGAATCATTCTTGTATCGACAAAATTTGGAATTGATGGCTCGAGCTTTGTAGCATATTTAATATTTTAGAAAGGAAGTAGTCATTTTATGGTTCATTTGCAAATTACAAATTTGTAGGAAGTACTCATTTTTTATTATATTTGGTTAATAACATAATGTAGTGATTTCTTATAATAACTATTGAGGGTAAATACGTTATTTCATCAACAATTAGAACTCCAAACAAGTTTCTCTCGAAATTAAATAATAATTATTACATCATGATGCTTAATTGTTTTTTTTTAGGGTATTTTTTTTGGTCATTCTCCCTTAATAGTGTATTTGGATTAATAAAGATTTAAATTTAAATTTGGATCAAATTTTTTATTTGTATGCACAAAAATTTTTAAATTTGGGCTTGATTAAAATTTAAATCTATTTTAAAGTATAATTCATTTATAATTTTAAAATTTTTTACCATCTTAATTATTTAAAATTTTAATTACTTCAAACATATTATTCTCTTCAGCGTTTCACTTTTTAATATTTGTATAGCTTTCATATATTTTCTCTTTTTTTATTAAAAAATAAAATAAACTTATCATTTTTTATTAAAAATAAACTTGTCATTTTTTATTTTTTATTTTTGTTTAGAACATTAATTCATCTCTTTTCTTCATTTAAAATATTTTAAACTATTCAAGTAAAAACTTTTAAATACATGAAATTTAAATATAAATATAAATTTATCTATTCAAAAGTTATAAAAAAAATAATTATTTCAATGGATAGCAACTTTCTATCATTCACGTATTTAGGTGGGTTTTCTGTCATTTTTCCAACTCTTTAACCCCATCTTGAGGGTATGGCCCGGTCCACAAATTTCTCCAAAAGGCCGGTCTGATATTGATGGATGAAGCGGACAATTTGTTTCCAAATGTAAAACGAGCTTTCCTTGTCAAAATGCTATTTGTATAAAAAAAAAAAATGTTATTATTTTAAATTTTCAATTCAAGTCTTTTGTTGATCACCGCACCTCCAAAATAAATGAAGTCTTTTTTTTGGCTATGTTCTTCAAACTCAGAGACAAATTTATCTTAGCAGACTTAACCACTGTCTTTGTCATCAATTCTAAAGAGCTTATAGCTGCTTCAAAAATATTAATGATAGTAATAATTTTAATGGCAATATTATAAGTTTATCCTAACCAAACAAAATCTTAAGCCATATAATAACATGGAAAATTCAATTGACATCAAGCTATGAAGTATCAATGCTTTAAATTACCTCACATATCCGTAGTATCATATCTGATACTAATACTATTTTTATATGTATTTATAAAGTATCAAGATAATTTTTTTTTAATTTTAGAAAATTTAAATTTTATACATGTTTGATATTTCTAGATTGCTAATTGATACTTAAAAACTAAAAATTAAAAAAATTATTAAGACTTGTAATGTTAAGCTTTTTATTACTAATATCATTTTTTAGTTTGCTTTTAAAGTCAAAGATTATATTTTCCTTAAAAAATTAAGTTTTGAATGTAATAAAAGAACAAATGTTATATTTTTCTTAATTATAAAAACGTGAAAATGTAATCTTATAATGGTTGAGAAGGAAGAAATATTGATACTATTTTTATTAGTAGGGACTAGGTGGTAGACAATTAAATATAGATAAAATAAAAATATAATTAATGATTATATTTTACTTGATATTATTATAAAGGATTATATATGTATGTGTATTAGTATTCGTGTAATCTAGATTTCAAAAGATTTAGATATAATGTGCAATGTTTAGAGCTGTCAATTAGATCTCCTAAAGAATTAAGGCCTAAACGAGCTGTTCCAGTTAAATTTATTTATATTTCAGAGCTCTATTTTGATCAATTCAGCTCTAGCCCTATTTTTTATTTTTTATTTTTTATTTAAAAATATAACAAATATATTTAAAATCTCAAAAAGTTATTACAGATAGCATTAAATTTAAAAAATAAATTTAAGTCAATACTAAATTTAAGTCTATTAAAAAAAATCGTTACAAAATAAACACCGATAACAATTCAATTTTACTGGCATCATCAATTAAATCTTGATAATTTTTATTGCCATCAATATCAATATAATTTAATCATTTTTCTTGTGAAGCCTCATCAATGATAAATGTATTAAACTTTTCATATATTTCTTCTTTATCCTCGTGAAATGAGGCAAAGGTTTTAAAATTAGTAGAACATTTATTTTTCTTCAATATAAAAATTTAAAAAAATTATAAAAGAGTTTAAAAAGTCTTCTATTTTATTTTAGCGGTTAAAAGGGTCTATCATTTTAAGTTTGAATTGTGATTTTATATTTTAAAGTAGCGGCCCAACTTTAAATTTTTTTTAGACTTAAAAAGACTTGACAAGATTAATTCTAATTAACAGCTTCAGCAATATTGATATTTGGTCAAAGTATGCTACACAGAATGAAATTGGCTTTAATACTATATCAAATTTTTTTAAAAAAACTAAACATTGAGCAAAACAAAAGTCATAAAATTTATAATAAAAAAGGGATGACACGAATGAAAATCTTTATTGTATTTATAATGAAAAAAATTCGGACAAACTATAGGGGTGAGACGTGTTTAGCAAAACAAAAATTATCTAAATTTTTCTTAATTATTAAAATTTTAAAATATTTTATATATTTTATTTTTATATTATATTCCTCAAGTTTAATAAGGAAAGAAGTTATTATAGAAAAGTCTAAAAATATATACAATCATGAATAATATGATACACCAAATTGTGCAAGAATTTCTCAATAAATCAAGGGCCTTCAGGTTTTTTTGTTTTTTTTAGGGTCAAATATCATGTGTAAGTTTTGGTGCTACCCCCCTCCTTTTTTGATTTGCATGTTCCTCAGCTCCCACTTGCACTCAGCAAATCAACATTGTTGTATTCTCACTTTGTCCTCGCCATCACTCTTTCGCTTTATTTAGATTGTTGTCTTTGTCACCACCACAACTCCACACACACACACACACACACATTTGTATGTGTATATTATAGTACTAATCCAATCCAACATTCCGACTATATTAATATGTATAATATATAGAGTTCAACACTTGTCATGTCTGAACCTTCCACTCTTTGCTCTTTGGTCCCATGCCTTTCTACGTCAAGTATATTTGATTTGATACGCCATCACTTTTTATCTTTATTACATACTTTAATTTATAAAAATTAGACCGATTATATTTTGTACGCTTTGGTGTATATAATATTTAAATAGAATTCGAGATTAGCCGTGTAGATTTGTGTTCATGAAAATTGAGAAGCGTGTTTTACTTGTATTTTTTTTTAATATATTTTACTGATGACAGTGCTTAATTAATTTAATATTTTATTTTCAAAACTTGAAGATACTCAAACTCAAACTATATTAAAAGAAGGTGTGGTAGGGCTTTAGGGATTTTTCCTTTTCTTTCATGAGTTTTATAAGATTTTTCTTTTTGATCTGTAATTGACAGCCACATATATCACAACGATGTGAAACAACATCGAATTAATACATAGACACAAACACATGTTGGCACTCGAAATCTATTTATTTTGCATACACCTATGTGTGGTGGGAACTTGCATATCTAGAGCTATATACTTTTTCTCATCCACGAAATTATAATGAGATTAACTAATTGAAATGTTCTTTTTACATAATTAACTATTATTCATGAACATAACTGGTTAGGATTTCATTAGTGGCAAAACTCTCTCAATGAGTACTAACACAACTACATGCCTAGAATTTGAATTTGAATTTGAAACTACCAATTAACTTAATACAACTCTCATATTAGTTATGTGCTCGTTAGTGATTAATAGGAAATATTGTCTGGTTGGTTGTAGAAAAATCTAAAAGCATCATTATGTAAACCTAATTTTGTTTAGTGATTTAGCCACTTCATAGTAAATACTATGGTATTAATTTAGTGATTTTGTGACACTTTTGCCCCCATATAATGTGGGTAGAAATGTTCCTATATGTCATTCTCCCTAGAGTCAGCTTGGACATTATTTTTCCCCCGAAAAATGTTCCTCAATAACTTTCATGGAGAAGTCAGGACTCATGAGGCGACCATTTCATTAATTTAATGGTAGTATTTTAATTATTAAATGGGCTATTTATTAAGCATGATATTTATTTTCTAATAAATTTGATTATTTTAACTGCTTTTGTTAGTTTTAATGGGTTAAGTAATGATGACCTATATTTAAAATTGGAAGGAATACGCGACTGCAAAATACGTTGCCAGCAAAAGTATTCGTGAGCTATGAAATAGTTTTAACACAAGAAAATTTGGATGGCCAAAAGAAACCTCGCAAAATTTGATTAGTGTGCAACCAAAATGATCAAGTCAAGGAATAATGTTTTCTTTAATAATTATATTTTGAAAAGAATGAAAAGATTAAAGATCCTTTTAAACAATGATTTAAAAATCAGATTAAATCAAATGATTTCAACTATTGACCAAAGTTATTAACGGCTCAATTTGAATTAAAAAATCATGTTCATAATTGAGCTGAATTGAATTGAAATAAAGCTACTATTAAGTCAAAAATAAGAGTTGACAGTTATAATTATAAATGTAGATATTTTTTAATTTACTTATATCTAATTTAATCAAAATTCACCTATATTTAATAAGTTATAAAATTTTAATTCATAAATGTAATAAAAAATTTAATTTATAATATTATTAATTTATAGTCATGTTATTATTAACATATCATAGATTTCTTTTTTTATATTTATTATATATATATATATATATTTAATATTATTTTTATTTAATTATTATAGTACAAGGTCAAGCACTAGTCTAATTAGTTAAATCATAAAAATTAAGAATCATTTACTTTTTTGATTGAATGTCCAATTTAGCCTTTGAAACATCATTTTTAATAATTAAAAAACTAAAATAATATTCAAATCATACAATATCATAATTATAATTATATGATAATACTTTTTTTATTTTTTATTATTAGAGAAACTATCACTTTTCACTTGCATATTTTACAAACAAAATCATCAATTTTAATAAACATTTATTATATATTTTTTAAATTATCCCTCATAATTTATATTAATAAAAATAATTAATATATACTTATATTGATTAATATAAAATATTTTAATTTAATTTTTTTTTATTTTCAAATATAGTTATTATAATTAATTATTTTTTAAAATTGTGTAATATAAATTTTTTTAATATATCGGTTAAAAGGAAAATGATTCGATGTCCCATCCTTCACTTCATGAATTGACAAATTTTCTTCTATTTCCATACATTGTAGAGTTTGAGACGTCATGACTCATGAGCCATAAGTAGTCTAATGGGGATGTTAGAACTCTGCACTGCATTATCCGATTAAATTTTCAAAACATTTTTTCTGGCAAAACAAAAAATGGGTGAATCTTAAAACCCTCAAAATACAAAAATTTATATTTAGGATCCAATAAAATATAAAAAACACACTAAAAATTTAAAGATTTTTTTTTTTAAAATTTTGTTGTGAATGAAAAAAACCATTTTCCCTTGTTTCAATAAAATATTCATATATGCATAGCATGATATGTGCAAATTCTCAACACAATTTTTATAAATGTGCAATACATCTGGTGGATATTAACTTAAAATATATTATTTTAATGAAAATATATTATTCATTATCAATTGTATGTTATACAAATGTTACAAGTCTACATATATTCATCGTGTTAAAAATTGATGGATATTGTGTGTGCATTCATAAACATTATGTTATTCATCTCTTGTTTGGTTGTACATTTCATTTTAAGTTTAACTATATCAATCAGATATGTTGTGCATTCATGAACATTGTGTTAAGAATTCATGAACATTATTTTGTACATACATGAATATTTTATTGAGATAGAGCAAATACATCTTTTCATCCACAACAAAATTTACAAGAGTGGCTTTCAAGCCTGTAGTGTGTTTTCAAATTCTATTGCACCATAAATATAAATTTTTGTATTTTGGGGCCCTAAATGAGGTTCTCTTGACAAAAAAATATATTAAAGCAATAGTTTAGGAGCATGTATTGATCTCTGTTTTTTTTTTAAAAAAAACAGAGCATGTATTGGTATAATCTTAATGCCAAATTCTTGTCTCTTAATTAATAAATAATAAGTAATTGAAATTTAAGTGTTTAATTTTTAAGTTGGGTATGAAATTGTGTCACTCAAGTATGTCATTAAGCGTATCATATTATTCAACATGACACTTGAAATTTCATACTACCCAGTTTCTATAAAGTATTATAAGAAAAATTAATTATTTAATCATTTTAATTTTGATTTAATTATAATTCAATTAATGAACTCTAACTCAACTTAATTCTTATAATTTTAATTCGATTGTAACTTAATTTTTGAATTCTAACTCTTGTAACTTGGTCTTCTCTATATTCTTAACTATTTAAAATATCGGTCCTTGTATTTTAAAAAATAAAATTATAAAATTAAAATTATTTTTAAATTTTAAAATTTATAATTTTTATAAAGATTAAAAGGATTTAGTAACTTAAAATATTAATCCTTAATCTTAACATGATTTTACACATTAACAGATTAATATTTTAACTGATTAAAATTATAAAGATTGAATTGTAAGAGTTAAAATTTAAGAATTGAGTTATAATCAAAACTATAAGAATCAGGTGACAATGAGTTAAAATTTAGTAATTAAATTATAATTGAGTTAAAATTATAAGAATTAAATAATTAATGTTTAAAAAATTAATTTTTATTGTTTGGTTCAATTAATAAAGACTGAACTAATAATTTATAAAATTATGGGTTCAAATTTTACAAGCAATGTAATGAAATTTTTTCACGAAGGTTATATTAGTACAAGCCACTTAAACTCTCATCTAAAAAAACAATTTTATTGATGAAAAAATAATTTTATTATTAGTGCGACTAATGTTTTAATCCCAACAAACCACGAAATGGGCAGAGCCCACGTTGAGAACAACCAAAATTAATAGACATTGATTTTAGTGAAAGGAATTATTTTCACTTAAATACAAGCTTTTGAATTCCAGTCCGTATCAATCAATAAAACAAAAACAAAGAAAGAAGGTTCCGGAAAGCCATCCATGCCAGAAAATATCTGTAGCACCGTGCTACCTCAGCCGTACGGCATCATCCTTTTCCAGAGCCATGATGCAACGGAAACGAACAATTAGAGCTTTTATGGTTAGATTGGTAGCATGAAAGAGTTATCCATAAAAGTGAAAGTGGAATAGGAATTGAAAGAGTAAAGTGAGGTGGAAATAGACTTTTAAAAATATATTTGATATGTAAATAGAAATGGATATAGTTTTTAATTGAAAAATGCATTTTATAATATAAAAATACCAAAATGTCCCTCCAACAAAAAAAAAAAAAAATCCCTTCCCTTGTCAAGCGCAATCACCATAAACACTATGGCAGAACAAGCGCAAGATCAAAATTGAAGAAGTTGACATTTGAAATCGAAATCCAACATTCAAAATCAAAATTGAAGGGGAGATCAAAGACAAAAATTGTCGAGCAAATTGAACTCCATTTGAAGAAGAGGAAGGGTTTGATTGAAAAACAGGAAGCGTTTGATGAAACAAAACAATCGAAGAACATGCACCAACCCAGATATCTTGCTTATCTCTGCAAATCTGGCTCTCATCTCATTTAAATCAAAGGTAAATTTGTTTTTTAGCACCAACCCATAATACATCAAAAGTAGAAATAGAAGGTCCTAAATAAAAAAAATCATTCAGATATTGCAAAAAACAATCCATAAATATATAATCCTTGTTTTCATTTGATGTGGAACGGAACCCAGCAACAACTGCATGCTTGATTTCATTTAGGTACTGCACAAAATAATTCTGAACTACAGATATGTAAAAGAGGCAGGTCGAAGTTCAAATGAAGTGGTTGCATAGTGAAGATCTGGAGGAAGAGGAAGAGGAAGAGGACGACGAAGTTCAAATAGAGTTCATGATGGATCACAGTCATCGAAGAAATAGATCGAAAACACTGAAGATCTGATTTTTATAGGATGGCTTGGATTTGAAGGAGTGGAAGAAAGAGGAGAAGATAGATGAAGAAGAAGAGGGTGACTGCGGCGGAGAAGGAGAAGGGGCCGATGACAGATGATGGATGACGAAGATGAGGTGACCAAGAGAAAAATGGTTTGGGTTGGCAAATGAGGAGGACATAGTTGTCAATTAATTAATAAGGGGTATAATGGTCACAAATTTGTGGTTCTCAGGAACTGGTTCACTTCCATCGGTCTAGGTAAGGAGCCCGGTTCCATCATTTTTGATGAAACTGGTTCCACAGAGAAATGGGTTGTATTATACCAAATAAGTCAATTCCATTTCCTTCCCCAATTTCACTTCTTGAGCTTTACTTACACTGTACCAAATAAACCAGTGGGTGTCGTCTTATTATTTGAATGAAATGAAATAAAATAAATTAAAAAAATTAAGATAAGAATAAATAAATTATTATTTTCTTTATAATAAGCATGATAGAATTTATTATATATATTACAATGTAAAAATCATTATACCTTTCAAAATTTTTATAAATTATGATTTTTAATTTTATAAATTAAATTATTCACATTCTTTACAACGTATTTATCCGTTATATTTGAGTATCTTATTTTTATTTTTATTTTTTAATACATTCTTCTAACAAGAAAACTAGCGTTAATCATTAATATGTAACTGAGAAAACTATGTGAAGTCTGAGCATCTGGATTGTTCCTACGCCTTATAAGCCAAGAAATCTCTCTCTCTCTCTCTCTCTAAACTCACCTCTAAACTCACCCTCCCATTTTTTGTTGGAGAAGCAATTTCAAGAAAGTTAATGTTCATACCAATTCATTAGAAGCTTTGGTATTTATCCGATTTGAACACGATTCGAATCATTCTCTTAATGTCATAATAGAAAAGATCAGATGCCTTAACATAAAGGATTAGGTTATCACCTTCAACCACACATTTAGAGAATCCAATGTACGGATTAACTTGTTTTGACATGCTACAAACAATAATAATAATACTTTAATTTTTGATATTTTTCCCCAGGTGTCGTCCTTTTATAAGACTTGACTTGACTTGATTTAATTTTTTTTTCTGCGTGGCTTGCTGTGACCTTGCAATAAAAGAAAAAAAAATTCACTCTTCCCCCTACTTCTGTACTCTTGTGTATTCGTGTTGTGCTTCATCATTAATTACATGAATGACCAGTGAAGGGGAAAGCAATGACTTGTGTGCTGTTTCTGGGTTTGAACAAGGACTGCTCCGAATCAGAGCTCAGGGACGCCTACAAGAAACTTGGCACTGGTTACAATTTAATTCCTCGTCTTTCAATTTCTTCCTACGCTGCTTCACACACACGCAGCATAATTATAATCTGAAACATGCATATAGAGACCCAATCAACAAATGTTGCTTTTGACTTGGGATAGAGATGGCGTCCAGATCGTTGTTCGGCGACATCGGGGAATTCAAAGTCGGTAGAAGAAGCTAAGAACAAGTTCCAGCAATCCAGCAGGCCTATTTTGGTATACATATATTCTCCTATCTTGGTTTCTGCATTTCAGGGATTGAACATTAACCCATGAATATGATTTTTGGGTTCAATTATGGACCTCAATTTAAAGAATTTGGTGCATAATGTGCTCTGTTGTTATATGCATGATACGAGGTGGGGAAACAGTGTTGTCAGACGCAAACAAAGGTTGCCACACGAATCAAATTGTACAGCGACGACGACGAGAAACGCGAGTCGTTTACGTCCCCTTCCTTTTTCTTCTCTTCTCTCATTTTACTCTTTTTGGACGCCACATGCGTATAGTCCGTTTTGATTGCATAAAACTATAAAAATTGAATGGAATAAATAAATAAGAACAAAAAGAAATTAAATTACTCATTTGCATATTATAAATATAGGAATGTGCTATACTTTCTGGAAACCTCATGATTTATTGTCTTCAATCAAATGAATTAAATGACTTTTTTTATCGTGAACATACATGATCTATCTCTCATATGCATTTAAATTATTTGTTTTTTTATTTCTTTATTCTATTTCATTTTTATCTTTTAATGAATTGGTATATATATAATAAAAAATAAACATGTGCGGGTGTTCGCTCATTTTCTCTTTTGTTTTCAATTTAGTTAAAATATTATATTTAATTTTTTTAACTTTATACGTTTTATTTTAATCCCGTAATTGTATAAGGTGTTCTTTTAGTCCTTTAATTTTAACACTATTTGTTTTATCTCAACAAATTTTTATATTAAACTTTTAAATATTGATAAAATATTTTCAAATGTTAACATATTTAATTTAATTTTCTTAAAATAAAAATAATTGACAAGAAAAATAATTATTTAAAAGTAACAATGTTGGGATTAAAGGACTAAAAAATAATTTATAAAATTAATGATTAAATTAAAATTTATATAAAAATCTATGATTAAAATATATTTTAATCTCTAGTTTATTTGTTTCCTTATTGGTGTATTATCGATCATGTCATGCACATTGGTCAGGGCCATCAATTCGGTCTTGCTCCATCAGCCATCATTGCTTGAAAATGATCAAGTGATGCCTAAACATACAATTTAATATTCGGTTTTATTAATCTAGTCCACATGATCAAATAAAATAAGATCATTTATTTGGATCTGCTATCAAGATTTTTTTAAAAAATATATAAAAATGATTTATGCCATACTTTGAAAACTTATATTTTTAGGATAAATTAATATAATATATAGATATATAAAATTCTCTAACATTCTTGACGTTAAAAATTTACTATTAATTTCTTAAATTTTACGTTTATGCAAATAAATGTGTCCTTATTATACTCTTATATATAAGGGTAAATAAGTAAATTATTCTTAAACTTTAAATTTAATAACATTATAAATTTTAATTTTATTTATTGTGTAACTTGTTCAGGATTTGAGTGACTTCTTGAACGAAATGGCGTCAATGATGTGCCAAACAATGCCTGATGTCAGCCTCCTAGCTTCCTTTCTACTATATTCTTTATATATTCTTTTTTTTATATTCGTTAAAAGCTTGCCCGTTGACCGTCAAATTTCAAATTCTCTCTATCATTACGCTAATATTAAAATTTTAGCGTTTATTAGTCATCAATAGGTTCTACTATGTTTTAATATTTTTATTAGGTTAGGAATTATATTTGCCTTTTAATTTCTGTTCAAAGATTTGTTTTGCCCCTCAACTTAAATATTTTATAATTAAAAATATTAAAAAATATAATGTGAACCCACTAACATTTAATTAATGATGAGAAAACGGTATGGTGGTTAAGGAAAAAATATTAAAATTAAGAGATATGATTAACTCATAATTAAATTTAATTTATAAATATTTAAGACTTTTTTTTTTATGTATAATTCACCCGTTATATTTTATTGCTGTTGTGGGTTCTTATGGTCTGTTTAGCGGATAAAGCCAATTATTTGCCTTTGCATCACCTTTCGCGTCGTCGACTCCTACGTGTTGTTATTATAGCATTTGCTTCAGTCACGAGTGGACTTTCGCATCCAAACTTGCCATATGCCACCTCTATAAATTAGATTTGTTTCAGATAAAAAGTTCACAATTTCTTTAATAAAATATTAAGAGAGAGATTCATACCTATAAATGTAAGTTGCTTAGAGGCCCATTCCTGGCTGAAAAATTCATTTGGGCCTCTTGACTCTCACGAGGCCCATGAAATGAGTTCGTATAAATAAATTATCCTCCTTACCATTTTATTTATGTGATACAGAGAAAAAAAAAAATTTAATCTTATTCATAAATTAATATTATTAAATTTTACATCACAAATTTTTTATTTTACGCTCCATTAATTATTAGAGAGAGAAAATATATTATTAAAGTATGTATATTTAATAGAGATAACTTGATAACTTATTAAATTTTAAACAAAGTTAATAATTTTAAAGTTTTTATTAGTTTCAGTAAAATTGTTTGAAGTGACTTATAAATAAAATTAAAAAAGTAAATACAACAACATCAAATATATCAAATTATCAGGTTCCATTGTACAAAAAAAAAAATTAGTAGGTGGTTTGGATATATACAAACAAAGCCATTAGAGGAGCAAGAGTGAGAAGAACAAAACGAACAGACGGTTTATATCTTGTAAAGAGGGGGTGGAAAAAGAACAAAAAAAACATTCAATAAAGTTGTTAAAATTAAAGAGGTCTTTTGGTTAACAACATATCAAAAAATTTGATTGTTGATGGAGTACAATAAATCAATAATAATGTTCAATTTATGAAATCGATCTCATATAATGAGATAAGACTGTTTATTGTTTGTTCTTCTCATCAAACCTTCATAATTGAACTTTTAATTTTAATTAAGTGGTTCCCTAAAAACAAGAGTAATCACACATACATGCATTTTCTAATAAACCATAAGGAGATTGATATAAATTTTGAATATAAAAGGAGATATAAGATATTTGAATATGAATAGATGTGATAGCAGCGAGCATTGATGTGAACAGGAAAAAGGGGAGGAGAGCAAGGAGGAGCAGCAAGAGCTGTTTAAACAGATGTTGGAGGCAGACAACATATCAGAATCCGAAGGGACAGCATGCTTTGCTTCTTTCTCGTTTCAAAAAAGATATCACTCTTCCGACTCTGAAATCATCAACAACGTTGGAAACTCCCAGCAATCTCTTCACTTGCATCAACGCCTTCAATAACTTTGTGTGTGTCTTTCTTTCTCGTACATATGATCTCTGCAACCTCATAGCTTTTCAAATCTTGCTATTATGGGGCTCAGTATGCGCGCGCGCGCGCATTTGCCTCCCCAATGTCTTCCTTTTAAATTAGAATCACAATGAATGAGGATACAAAAATTATGGAGGCTATGCATAGGGTTTAGGGTGTAGAATTAACTTAAATAATGTTTTGATTCTGGGTAATTTTTGAAAAATTGTAGAGAGATTTGATATTTAGCTAACTTTAACTAATTTCTTGTTGGTAAAAAAAAACTAATTTCTTTAAGTTTACAAAAGTAATTAGCAAGGTCTTGTAAAAAGGACTAGAAAAGTAGAAAGAGTAATTGACGATGACGTGATTTTGGGACGGCTAGATGCGACCTCAAAGCATCCAAGCGTTAATATGATGCATAGTGTCGCCTAAATTTGCTTCTTTTACCATAACTGAAGTATCCTCTGGCTATTATGTACTCTTGTTCTTATTTAATTTATACTTTGCTTGGACATTTCATCTGTCATCTAACCAATTTGTATGAAAATGAGGTGTATTTCTTATGTTCTTAGATATTTATGGATAATAGATTTCTTCTAATTGGATATACTTAATTGTTTTTTCCCTCCTTTTGTTTTGTTTCAAATTGAGGTGTGAAGACAAAGGGAGCAGCTTCAAGATTTGAAGAAGGGAAAAGAGAAGGAAGAGGAGATAGAGGTAACAGTAGCCATAAGGAGGGGAAGAAATGCCATGAAAAAATACCCAAAATTATTCATGTTGGCGTGTTATAAAAGTTCAGTCAATTATTCAAAAACATGAAAAGTGCTAGTTTTTTTCTTCTTTTTAGATTTTTTGGGGTGTTTTTTTGTTAAGCATTAAGCTATTAATTATTGTAATTTGGAAGAGTTTGATATTCTCCTTTGAATTATTTTAATTTCAACTTAGAAGTGAAAATGAACATTCTGGGACATGTGCTTATTTGATTAATGTTGCTTTCCATGCCACAATTATTCACTGTCAGTTTGTGCCTTAGAACACCCCATCTTTCTCCTACAATAGGTATTTATCTACTCAGATTGACATGAGTATAAGAGGAAATTCTTATTACTTAAACAAATAATTAGAAGTTTAAACTCTAATTCTTATGTATATAGTAACCTAGTTAGAAGGGGAAGTTGTGAAGATAACAATACTCTTTATTACTTTCATCCAAATATATTTAGAGCTGGGAATATGTTTTGAACATATTCATTGGAGAAAAATTTATAATTAAATTTTTAAAGTTCCAAAAAATTATTAGAAAGTGTTAAAAAGACAGAAAATAAAGTGGATGGGCAATTGAGTTTCCATTTTCCAACCCACCAGCGGCGCTTCACCATGTTGAGCAAAATTTACCAATTACCACTTCTATATATATTTCTTGTGTCTTAAAAAAATAAATGCAATTATTTCTTCTTTGCTAAATGTTGGACCGGAGAGAAAATCTAATGGGTTTTTTTTTTTTTTGGGACTTAGTAAGTTGATAATTCAATAAATTAAGTGGGCCAGTTTTAGCGTGTTTTGGGGAACCAGCGCTGGGGCTTTCCCCATCCGAGTCGGAGATGACCCAACTAAACTCCATTACTGGGTCAATGCGATGGCGACCTTGAATTCCTATCATAAAGTCTTTGCTGGCTCCCAAAAATAAGATACAAGTGTCTGTCTTGTGGGTCCTCTCAAATTGCCCTCATATTTCCATGCATGGACACTAGTTTGACTTATTTCATGGTCACACTATACTCAATTTTTTTTTTCTTTTTTGACCATCAACACCATACTCAATATAGCAAGAAAAAACTTTAACATTAATAGGTTTACTAGAAAGGATTAGTATCTTATAAGTCACAACATGATGAATAAGGCTTAAATTTTCATTGAGAGAGATACTTCGAACAATTACCTCCAATTCCAATAAAAAAGATACATGTGGATAACTTAAAAAAAATATATAATCAGAAAATATACCGGAAAGAGCCTATCAAGTGTATCGCCTATTTTTCATAGGTAGATCTTCATCAATAAGCTATGACACTCATAAATGCAAAGACCGAATAATCCAATTACTTGATTGTTTTCCTCTTAGGTTACGTTTCTATATGTTGCTATTTAATTGAGATAGGTGTATGTTTTGCTTTCAATACTTTAAAGGAGATTAATTTCTATTATTAATAGAGTATGCATTTTGCATCTTACCAAAAAGATTAACCCAAAATCTAAGAGGTATAGTTTTATCAAGTTTTATTTTTAGTTATTATAATTTTTTCAATGTTTTCAATCTTTATAATTTTAAAGATATTGGGTGATCTTTGTTTTTCAAATTCTTATAATTTCATTTTTTTCAATGCTTTTAGTTCACATAGGGATTGAAAACATTAAAGAAAAATTATAAGAATTAAAAACAAAACTTGATAAAATTATAAGGATCAAAGATTATATTTTTTCAAATTACATTGAGAGACCCAAATTTGAGTATCTTGACGTAGCAACTAGCATCAAGTTTCTTTGCTATAATTAGTATAAGGAGGTGCTATACAAATGGAAAGTGACCCAACCGTCACTTTTTTGGGGGGCTAATATTTTCATTAATCACCGTACACAATACTCTAACTATTCACCCTACTTTCCTTGCAATATCGGTACCAGCTAATCGCAATTATGAATTTGTTTATTATTATGTATATGAGTAAAAGAAATAAAATACTCAAAAAGTGATCAATCAAGGACATTAATATTTTCAAAGTAAGAGAAAAGATAAAAATATTCATATCGTTATATTGACGGATGCAAAAGTGATCAAATCATTAACTTTGACCTAATGTCGTTAACTTCAATTGTTAAATGCTAACTGTGCATACCATTTGTCAATCTTTACTAACGTAAACTGATAGAGGGGCAAAAATATTCATGAAATTATCGGCTAGGAGAAAAAATACCCATGAAGTTATAGATCAAGAACAAATATACCTATAACGCCTTCAGAGTTAGTACAAAAGTGATCAATCTACCAAATTTTTTAAATGTTGACCGTTTAGCTAGCTCTTAAGCAAGAGTTGATTATTTTTTCATTGCTGTAAACAAAAAATATTCCTAAATGAATTTTTACGGATGTTGATCGATCATCGTATGAATACTCATAATGTTACTTAAGTAGGTGTAATAGTGATCAATACATCAAAATCTATGTCACATGATTTTTTTCCATCACCATGTATCTTGCTCCCTTCTTTTTTCCCTTTCTACTCATTTTTCTTGTTTGCAAAACTTGTGATTAAATATAGTGAAATAGGTTGTGCACAATTAAAAATTGAAACTGAACACACCTTTTACGCCACCCTACCTTAAGAACATTTTCATAATTTTAAGCAATTTCATTCATGATAAGTTCAAAATGTTCGAATAGTTTTCGCCACTGCTGTAAAGAAACAAGCGATTTAATGGTCAAACCAACATTTTCTCATATGATGTTCATACAATGATCAATTAACCTCCAGAGAATTTTATCTAGAAATATTTTTTGTCGATGTTAACAAAATAATGGTCAACTTCTGCCTAGGTGTCAACCAAACGGTCAATATTTAAGAAATTTGATGAATTGATCTTTTTTGCATTAACTCTGATAATGTTATTGATATTTTTGCTTCTAGCTGACGACTTTGTGAGTATTTTTGCTCTTGGCCGATGACTTTATGAATATTTTTATCCTTTTATTAATCCATGTCAATAAAAAATGACACGTGATATGCATAGTCATCATTTAATGGTCAAAATTAACATTGTTAGATCAAAGTCAATGATTTGATCACTTTTGCATCCACCTATGAAATGTTATGGACGTTTTTGCTCTTTTCCTTACTTTAAAATATTAGGTGCTCCTGAATGACTACTTTGTCAATATTTTTGCTCCTTTATCCTATATATAAACATACATATTAGATCATGGTAAGATACAAAAAATATAAAAAGAATAAACATCCATATGATATAATTTATTTTAGTTATTTTTATTTATTATCTTGCTTAAAAATATATCACAGCTCTGTCATATTTAAAATTAAAATTTAGAAAAATCAACCATTCTATCCCTACTTTTTTAACTTAATACAACTCAATCCTTATAATTTAATTTAGTTATAACTTAATCAATACACTTTAACTTAATATAATTCAATCTCTATAATTTTAGCAATTTGTAACATTAGTCACCAAGCTTTAATAATAAATTTTTTAAAAAAATGCAAGGTTGACATTTTGAATATATAAAATTATAAATAGATAACATTATAGCAATTGAGTTATAAGTTAAAATTTAGTGACCAAATTTTAATCAAGTCAAATTTATAAAGTTTAAGTTGGACTAACCACCAAATTAAAGTTCATGGACTAGTTTAAACCATCAGATTTGTTGGAAGAGAATTGCACTCCTTCCTTTTAAAAATATAAGTCATTTTTAAATTAGATATTCAAAAATATAAGATATTTTTAGTTTTTTTAATGTGTAGTTCATAATTTTTTTAAAGAAAATACCCTTAATAAATAAATCACTCAACTCTTCATCTTTAAGTGAGGCACTCTATTAAATAAAGGTAAATACATAAAGATGATATCAATTTAAAAAATTAATAAACTTATTAGAGATGTAATTAAGTTAAAAATGCCTCATTTTTTTCAAGGGATGTGATTGTATTGAAGCTATTTGGTTTGTAACTAAGGGATGTGATGATTTACATCCCTTTAAAGATATTATTGATTATTGATGATGTTAGCCTTTTGTATTATATGTTAAATGTCAATTTTAATACCTCTGATTAGGGCTGCATGAAGGACTGACTTAGTAGGATTTCAGCCAAATTCAAAGTCTGGTCCTTTTCATGAAAAGGTTTTAGTTAAGCAACTAATAGTCTGATCTAGTTCTAGCATAATCCAAAGTTGAATAGGACCAAATTAGTTTAGT